CACAACAGACTTACCAGCTGGAGGCAGCTGTGTTGAACATCGTAAAGGAACCAATCCCCCTATTATAACATTGTTCCTATGGGAAAATTGGTTCTGAGTTATGACATTTCAACATAAGACATGGTTTTCAGGAACCAATTGCATCGTAAGTCTGAGGACTGCCTTTACTTGACTTTGGTGCCTATTACTTATTCAATGTGCAAACTATTTTAATAAAGTAAATTACTAACTATAGATTTACAGGCTTAGTAAAAACAAACATACTAATGCAATCTGCTATTCTTTATAATGCAACACTAAGGGCTCTGCTACACGTTCAAATTAAAGCTGGATAGAAACCAGCTATAGAGTTGTTACATGTTTTCAAGCAATAACTTTACAGCTGATTGGCTGTTCTTACGTAGCTTAATGGTCATTTGTATCATGTGATAATTACTTTCTACATGTGGCCAGTCAAAAATTATTGCTCAACTGACCACTTAATTGCATAATATATGTAATGTGTAGCAGGGGCCTAAATAAACCACATAAAATCATCCATTACTCATACAGATGTTTTCTTTGAACTACACCTTATGCAGACATATATGTTAAAAAAAGCTTTTACTTAGTAATATAATCAGCTCCCGAATTCTTTCTTAAAGAGTCTGTCAAACACCAGCTAGGGCAGCTGACCTACTTTTTCACTTTTTAGCTGAAGTTGTCACTAATCTCTTCTAGAGTCTCACTACATTAAATATTTAACAGTGGTTGCATTGTATTACCAATAAATTGTTTTTAGTACTGTATATACCTCCATGCATTGGAAGTCCCAGCTTCAAAGGATAAAATTCAGGTGCAGAAAAAATTATTATTAAAATGCAGAAAAAACTCTTATTTTTCTGCATTTTGATCTCTACAGTGCTACATCTGTGGATACGCAGGTTCAGCCAGACTCTAGCCCAAGAATGTATTAGTTCATCTAAGGAGGGGCACCCTACACAATTTTAAAAATTATGTATGTAACCAGGCACTAGCTCTTAGGTGGGCAATAGATAGTGACAGAGCAGATATCAGCTCTCATCCAGATATTGGACATATGTATCCAGGGTCTAGTTTATGGTCTTTTAAATGAAATACACCATGCCAAATTTAGGCCTGGTGTAAATGGGTTGAGATTGCTCATCAAGTATATCTTGTTTGGGAACCTTATTGTTTATACCAAGTAAAACATAACCTTAAAGCCACTAAGTAACATGACAGGGGCCAAATTCAGAACACAAATAGTTGGCTATCCTTATGAAGTTAATAATCCTAAAACACCATTAAAATATCAGTATTCTGATTGTCTATGATCCTATCTTCAGTTTTCTGCAGTACTCAGTGAGGTATATTTGGGACCCAAGACTCATGTCAGGATCAGGACAGGAGTCATAGGCATTCAAACTTCAGAAAGCTGCTCTGGGATTAGGGGTCAGGATTCCAGGTCTCTGAGACTCTAGAGTGGTGATTCTCAACCAAAGTGCTTGGGCACCTGGTATGTCACCAGACCATTTTGAAAGATGCCGAAAGGTGTGAGCAGATAGGCAGGTAATTGTAGATTCAGGCTTGCCCTTGCTTGGCAGATCCTCCACCCCCACTGTCTAGTACATAAGCACTGTAATATACCAATTAGTTTTTAAAATTGGGTGCCATTCAGTTCACAAGTTATGGGAGCCTCCAGTCCAATGAGGTTTGCTTCAAATCTAAAAAGGTTGAGCACCACTGCTATAGAACATAATGGGCTGTATATTTCATTTGAAGTGAGACAGACTGGGCACATCTACATGTTCATTAATTCACCCTAGCTACTGCGCATTTAGTTTAAAATTTCCTTAATGAAGTACTACCTGAATGCACAGTAACTAGAGTTACTCCACAGTAGTACTTGTGCATGGTTATTTTATTCACTTAATTGAGCATTAGCCTAATAACACTGCATAGTAGGCTATTAGCACAGCTTTTAACTGCCATGCTACTGCACAGTGTTATTAGGCTAATGCACAGTAAGCGTCTCATGTAGACTTGCCCACTGAGAAGTAAAAGGTCTGTACTCTGGCTGTGGCTTTTCCAACACGTGTAACTATCAGCCAGAGACTGGCCCCTAGGCTTACTTGTAATTCAATGTAGAGTGAAAAATAAATAAAGTGTAAATAATGAAAAGTTGGGTCATCCTATGCTGGGGAGGAAATCACATGACAGGAACAGAACTGCCACAAAACTCTTCAAGGAGAAACTCACTGAACATGAAGCACTAGGGATTTTACAAGGAAGTAACCTGTTGATGTGGACACACTTTAACCTCATCCATCCCTGTTCTCACTGAGGTGTGTAGTACAGCTAGAGGTGCTGATGTACCTTGCCAAAGTGATTGTATGTACTCCACACACTAAAATGCAAGGCCTGTGTGTGTGAGGTGCACTTTCCTCCACTGTGTATCTCAGTCATAACCTGTAAATTATACCACTGGCATGGCTTAGAAATCTCATCCCAGTCTCTGACCTAGCTGAGCTGCCCTCAGTGCCAGGCCTTTTTGTGTGGGTGTTTACATGCACACATCAAGTTTGATGTGCCCCAGCCAGCTGTTTTTTCTCTTGGAAATACTGTTCTCCTGAGGGATGGGAGCATAGACAGGTATGCCACCTCTATACTATCTAGAGATTCCCCTCTTGCCATTTTTTCTTTGGGACATGAGAAATAACACTAAAAAAGAAACAAAGAAGAGAAACTTATTTTTAGAAAGTGTAAACTATCATAGCTGTGTGTGTGTGTGTGTGTGTGTGTGTGTGTGTGCGCGCGCGTAATACTCAAACCCATTGGCTAGAAGGGCTGAAAGGCCCATTGAACACATTGGACCAAAGCTAGCACAAATGATTGTAGCTCCATGGAAATCAAGAGCACTACAGTGATCAACACTAACTGAAGACCAGGTCTATAGTCTGAGACACTTGAGACCGTGAGGTATATAGTTTTAAAACTAACCGTTCTCCTGCCCTATTTCATTGTAAGGTTATTAACCTACTTCCCAGATAAGCAAAATTCTCTATATATAAAGGGCTTAGTCCATCTGTCTCTCTGTGTGTGTCTGTCCATAATGCTCTTGGAGCACTCTGATTGGTCGTCTCAGCAGCCAATCACAATTCTTACTGAAACAACCAATTAGAGTGCTCCGCACAGACAGACATACAGACACAGCCAGATGTGGGGAGAGGGAGGTCTCATGGGGCCGGATGCAGGGGGGGAGGAGGAGTGGCACGGGGCCGGATGCTGAGTGGCAGCAATGCAGGGCAGTGGGTGGTAGCAGCCACCCACCATCCTGTGCTGGAAGCGGGGCAGGATACAGGGCTGGATGCACGGGTGGGGTGTTGTGGAGCTGGATGCAGAGCAGAGATGGGTAGTGTGTAGCCAGATGCAGAGTGGCAGCAGTGCAGGGTGGTGGGTGGCATTGGCCACCCACCGCCCCATGCTGGAGAAGTGGCACGTGGGGCAGGGCTGGGGTGTGGGGCTGGACACGGAGTGCGGGGAGTTGTGTGTGGCTGGATGCAGAGCAGCAGCAGCGTGGGCTGGTGGATGGTGGCGGCAGCCACCACATGCAAGCTTCTCCCCCTTCCCCTGCTCCTGGGAGGTGACAGCAGTGGCATGGGGTGGTGGTGCACTGTGCTCCATCCCACTGCCCCTACCCCCACCGTCATCTTGAGGGGAATTCGCTAGTAAATAAATAAAATATATCTGCTCAGGCACCAACACAAATTCCATGATGAATTGGTCATCATCAGTCCAACACCTATAATCTTTCCATGGCCTGTTCATGCTTATGCCTCCAAAAAATAAATGTATAATATATATCCTAACTGCATAATGTAGGAATGCAAACTAAAGGTATCTCCATATGTGCTCTAAAATATACCTCACCTACACTTTTTTCTAATGTTAGTGCCTAAAATAATTTAAATTATGACAACTCAATGTAGTCTTACTTTAGATAGACCATCTCCTACACTAAAGTGCATAGCATGGAAGCATGTTTGTATAATGCTGTTATGCCCCATATTCTTCATAAAAATAAGTTGTGTAACATGTGAGGCTTATGTTGTGCCGAATTTGAATATAAATACTTCATTTAAGTGGGGATTTGATCACAATTGTTCCTGGCATAACGTAAGTTGAATGTATACTGTGTTACAAATTTGCGATATGTTATAAAAAAGAATTCTTTGCCTTGCAGCATTTCTTCTACAGTATATTTAGAAATTGAGAGTTTTATTCTTCAGATAAATTGGGAATAAGTATATTAAAGTTGATGTATGCAAACTCAGAATTATGCACTGGCTCATTTCTTTTTAGCTCATTCTAGTAAACTGTACCAACACTACAACAGCAGCAGAGATTCTAGGTCAGATTGTTTAGCCTGGCAGGAACGTTGTGTTCAACAGGAGGGGAGAAAAAGCATTATCTCATGATGGAAAGTCTACATAATATTATTAAGAATTCTTTATCTATTATAAATGAAATAATTGAATGTAGGTTACTAATGCCATATCCACTAGTCTGATGCTTGATCATTACTCAATTCCTTTGAAGAAAGAAAGCTTTTTACTTCTTTGGTGGCTCTGGGGCTTACAATATAGTATCATTGGCATTGAATGTGGTGCTTATATAATTCAAATAGGTTATTTTGTCAGCGTTAAAGAAGACCATTCACAAGAAAAGTAACAGAAAATGACATACTGTTCCTGAAGACATCAACCCACATTTATACTGTTACCATCTCTTTTTCCAAGCAGCAGTGTTTTTATTTTTGGCTGTGCTGAGGATGCAACTGAAATGTAAAATGAGGGAGTATTAAATCAGTGTTAAATATTTTATAGCTTAACTCACTGCAGCATCATTCTTGGTTGGAAGGGAAAGTGAATTGTTTTACAATCATTTATGTTCAAAGAGCTTCCCTGCATAAAAAGGATAAAAAAAACAAAGGTTTAAATACTGCCCTAAGGAAAGGAGACTGAATATGGTATTGGCTCTGACAGTACTTCATAAATTATCATAATCTTTATGCACAGCTAAAAATGTTCTCTGATGCAGCCTGAAGTGTATGGGGGCCAGGTAGTGTATACATTCATGCATACTTGTGTTTGTAATTCTCCATAATCATTTGATTTATAGTTGTTGAGGAATGGCGCAACCTTGGAGGGGAGGCCTGGCAGCTGATAGAACCTGTCGACGGATTCCATCCTAATCAGGTACAAAAAGAAAGAGGGGTGCCGGGAGAACTGATCACAATTGTCAGCTATGAAAGGATGGACCTACTGGTAACTGATGTTCTTTGAGATGTGTTGTCCACATGCACATTTTCACGGGCAAGCATGCTCAGCTATTGAACCCTTGAGAAGAAATCTCTTATCTTAGGAGTCCCCATGCTGAGTGTCCCATATCCTCCCCTCAGTCCTCTTTCTTGGACTGAGGGGGAAAAGGCAGCACTCATGTCCCTGCTCCTCAGTTTCCTCTGTTGCAGAGTTTGGAGGCAGACTCCAAAGAGGAGAAAGGAGTTTGGAAACTGACTGTGTGTGTGGACAACATATGTCAAAGAAGTCCAGATTCTGGAAAGTAATGTTTTTCTCCTTTCAGGAGTTATCCACAGACATTCATATGTTGGTAAACCCTAATGGAGGGAGGATTTGGAGATTTTTAAGCAAAAATCAAATGGAGTACCGTTTTACCAAATCTGGGCCACTTAGTGCTTCAGTACCATAGCAAAGCGGGGTGGGGAGCAGAGCAACTGCCCTGGGCATCAAAGCAAACGGGAGCCAACAGGTGAGCTGTGAATCAATATTTTGTTATAATGTGGCTGATAAATGCCACATGCATGCGCACAGCCACAGCATGCACGCAGCCAGCCCAGCAGCTTGGAGAACACCATCTGGCTGGTGAGCTTGTTGTGGGGGAGAAGGGGAGGAGGATGGAAGGGGTGTGTGAAGTGCAGATTGAGGCCCCCCCAGTGAGGAAGGAGGGGGGCTGGACTGGGGCAGGTGATGTCCAGCCAGGGTGCGGGATAGAGCCACAAGTGGCTTGTCTGGGGGAGGCCTGGGAAGGCGGGGCAGCTCCCACCGCTTTGTGCACCCCAGGGCAAGCACGGGAGGGCATGTGCCTCCCAGATCTGTGCGTGGGACAAGGGTGGGCTGCCACTGCAGGCTTGTCCCAGACACCAAACTTGCTTGCTATGGCACTGTAGTGCTTTGTGGAGCCCTTACTTCTATGTGTCAGACTGTTCCTGACAGAGAAGGAACCGAGGCTTTTTAGCTGCAAGAACCCAACATCCAAGCAGTCAAATGAAGTAGGTACAAGTCTGAGTGAAGCACTCTGCCATTGTCCTGAGAGAGTAGGTAGGTGAACAAAAGCAGAGGGATGCAATTTGACGCTGATAAGCATAGAACAGTGGTCACCAACCAGTCGATCATGATCAACAAGTCAATTGGGGATACTTTAACGGTTGATTTCAGTCTGGGGGGGGCTTAGTCCCCCAGTCTGAGATCGACTGTCAGAGGGTCCATGATTGGAAGTGGATTGGATGCACATGGAGAGCAGCAGGACTCATGTGTCTGGGCTTAGCCACACCCCTTGCCGCTGGGGCTGGGCCAGGGGAGTGGGACAACTGACCTGCTGGGCAGGGGGTTCAGGGACAGCAGGGCACAGTAGATTCTGGGTCACCCTTTCCTTCAATCAGTGATCTTCACCTTAAAAAGGTTGAAGACCACTGCCATAGAAGGTCCTGGTCCTATCATGATGATCCCTGACCTATCTTGCTGCACTTTCATGATGACCTGCAAAATTAAGGGTTCTTTCAGGGGGGAAGAGGAGGGTGGGAAGACATGCAATAGACCCTTTCATTATGTTATTAGAAAAGTAGTGAAAAGAGCTTGAACTGAGGTTTTTCCTGGAACAGAAGAACTGGGACTTCCTGTCTCGGTCCATCATAAATAAATCTATTTTCTGAAACCCCCAATCAGGAACAATTAAGAAATAGCTGAGTCCTTGATCTCCTACTCATGATAGATCAACATAACCCTACTCAGACATCCATCACTTTGTTGTGGAGACTATGTAGGTGTACTCTGGAAAGGTGGACATGGTGGCAAATACAACAACAACACAACTAGAAGCTTCCTGGGTGACAGAGAGGACTGTGGGAAATTGGAATGGCGAAACCAGATAAGGGTTACTCACTGTGTCAGCACAGGATGCCATATTGCAGTGATGCCAGCAGTCATAGAGATGAGGAAGAATCTGGTGCTTGAAGGACAGTGGTAGAGGTGCCAGAGTTGAAGCATCTGGTGCCAGACAGTCTGGCAGCATCAGTGCTGAGATGAGCCCAACTGCATTTATGCAGTTGCTACACAGGATTCTGCATGGGTTAGTGCTGGGCCTGGTGCCACATGTCAGAATGTGTGGAAGACAAAGATAATGATTTAGAGAAAAACTTCTTCCACTTTTAGGCAGGGGAGGTCTTGGGCAGTGTCATGGAGCTTGGATCAGTGGGCACAAACATGACCAGTAAATTGTTCCATTGGAGTCTGTAGATCAGTGGTCTCCAACCTTTTCAAGGTAAAGATCACTTTTCAAAGGAAAGAGCAACCCAGGATCTACTGCACCCCCCACTCCCCTCGCCCAGCAGGTCAGTCATGGGGAGGGAGGAAGAGGCAGATTAAGTTGTACTGGGGACCCAGGCAAGCACAAAATTGGAGGCCCCCTCCCCCCATGGGAGCTGGATTGCAGGGGGGAAAGGCTGGCGGGGGAGACTGAGTGGACCCCGCCAGGCTGAGGGTCACATGCCTGCCTCTTCTCCCTACTCCCTGCCCCTGCTACAGCCAAATGTACACACACACACGCACGCACGCACGCACGCACGCACACACACAGAGGTGCATGCACTCTACTTTCACTCTGCACAAGGATCCAGGCACGCACACAGACACACATGCTTTCCCCTCACAGGACCTCCCCAACTCTCGATCACACAGAGGCAGCCCTCTGCCCCCCCCCACCCCTCTTCAAGCCTCCTGTGGCTCACTCATGCTCCCCACCTAGCCCCCATTACATTTACCTGCAGGGAACTGCTGCCCAGCTGTCCCATGCAGCCATGCAGATGCAGGGGGCTGGGCTGGGCTGGGCTGGGCTGGGCTGAGCCAGGGTGGGAGCACCGCACCATGTCTCTGCAGGCAGGTGGTGGCACTGGGAGGGGTGGTTGCAGGGGAGCTAAGATGAATTTGGGGGGGCCAAAGCCCCCAAGGCCCTCCCAGTGCTGCCGCCCACAAAGGCACACTGCAACACAGTGCTTCTGGCCCAGCCAGCCTGAGCCCAACTGCTCTCCCCACCAGGTGGGGCATGGCTCTCCCAGCCTGGCTCGGCCCCCTCCCACCCAGATGCAGTGCCACCCACCCCATCCCCCTCCTCCAGGCATAGCACAGCTCTCTCAGCCCAACCCCAGCCCTCCCCCCGCTCCCCCCCAGCCCCAATGGTGGAGGGGCCCTGCTTCCAGCTCCCAAGGAAGCAAATGTGAAAGCTGCAGTTTTAAACTTGGTGCCAGAATGGGCACTGAGTTTAAAACTAAGGCTTTCGCTTCTCTGGTGATGAGGATCCCGGGGCCCTGAATTGGTGGAGCCCCCTGGGCTCATGCCCAGCTTCTCCATTTATTAATCTGCCTATGGGGGTGGGGCAGATCAAGGCCCCCTCAGTGAGGGTGGGAGTGGGGCAGAGGCAGGGGCGAGTGAGGCCCTGGCCGGGCCAGGGGAGGCTTGGAGCCCAGGAGGCTCGTCCAGGCACACGGGGGGCTCCCATTGCTGCACGCACCTTGGCAGTGGCCCGGGGGACACATTCACCCCCAATCTGTGTGCGGGGCAAGGCGGCTGTCACTGCACACTGGGCTTTGTGCCCTGAGCTCCACTGTAGCTGTGCACAGCAGCAGCCCCCTCACTCTACAGACAGACTGGGGGGGGGAGCTTGGGGCTCATGGCACAAAGCCCAGTGCACAGCCACAGCTGCCTTGCCCCATACACAGATCATGGGGGGGCATGTACCCCCTGGGCCTGTGCCAGGATGCATGTAGCAGCAGGAGCCCCCCTGCGTGCCTGGACAAGCTGCCTAGGTTCCAACTCTGCCCTGGCTCAGCCCAGCCGGGGCCCCACTCACCCGGTGGCAGGGGGTACAGAGAGGGTTTGTCCCACTCCCCTGGCCTGGCCCCAGCATCAGAGGGTGTGGCTCAGCCCAACCACGTGAGTTCTGCCGCTCCCCATGTGCGTCCTGCCACTCCCAATCGCAGACCCTCTGACAGACAGTCAATCTCACTTGACTGTCAGAGCCCTCCCAGACTTAGAACAACTGTCAGAGGGTCCACAATCAACCAGTCGATTGCAATCAACTGGTTGGTGACTACTGCTGTAGATACTTTCTTAGGATGCCTCAGAAATGGAATAACTGACACCACCATTCTTATGTGTTGTGGGGTATTCCCAAGTTGTAATGGATGGCTCTGGCATATGAAGAAGTACCTATACAAAAAGATCAAGGATGAGGACTTCCCCTTAGACCTAGTCCTGGGGTTCAGCCCTGCAACATCAGTCTGGAATGGTGCTGATGAACACAGTGCTAGTGTGGATAACTGGCATTGGAAAGAGGTGATGTTGGGGGAGCATATCAGAGAGATCTATTGAGCAGGAATATTTGGCACTTTACCACACATTGTTTCCTTATTCTGGGCATGACGGACTGACAAATGTCCCAGTATAGGCATCCTGTGTGGGAGGCCAAAGCAACAACAAGGCAGAAAACTGGTGATTTAGAATGAATCATAGAATCATAGAACCAGAAGGGATCTGTAAGATCATCAAGTCTAGTCCCCTGCCATAGGCAGGAAGTTATTGGGCTCAGACAAGTTCAACAAGATGCCTGTCCAGCCTCCTCTTGAACACCTCCAAAGATAGTGACTATACTACCTCTGCTGGGAGTGTGTTCCAGATTCTGGCAACCCTTACAGAAAAGAAGTTCTTCCTTATATCTAGCCTGAATTTACCCTCTGTAAGCTTCTGTCCATTGGTCCTTGTCCTCCTTTGAGGTGCCTTCCTAAAGAGTTGCTTGCCTAGATTTTGGTGTTCACCCCTGATATAGAATCATAGAATCATAGAAGTAGGGTCGGAAGGGACCTTGTAGATCTTCAAGTCCGACCCCCTGCCTGGGCAGGAGGAAAACT